CACAGCTCCAATCAACTGACACCTTTATTTAACAGATTGCAGTAGAATGACTTACAAATGTGATTTCAATAGTCATTGTATTCTCTTCAACATACTGCAAATTTGAGTGATTTATTTTTATAAAGTAAATACTTTTATTTACTGACTAAGGATGACTAACCAGTTCAAGTATCGGCAGCACTACAAATAAATATATCACACAGAAAATGATTTCAAAATGTTATCAGTTATTTGGTAAATAAATTTACTTTATAAAAAATATTTCAGTTATAAGAATTTCATTAATAGTGTTTAATATCAATTCAATTATGTATTAAGTTCATAAATGTCAGTTATTAATATTAATTTATCATAAACCAATTTCATTGTTGATGGCACAGCACAGTTCTTAAAAAAAATCATTGTTGCATTATTAGTCAGCAATTCAGAATAAATTTCTAAATATACGTTTACAAATTTCAGAATGAATTTCTAAATATACGTTTACAAATTTCAGAATGAATTTCTAAATATACGTTTACAAATTTAAGAATAAAATTCTAAATATACGTTCACAAATTTTCACCTTTTAAAAAATTGAAATAAATGAAATACAAATCTGTTATTGGGAGCATTCAATAAAGACCTTTACAGTTTTTTTGTTTTTTTCGTTAATTCTCGCCACAACAAAGCATATTATATTTGTGGGTATAGTTTTTACATGTGTGATAAACATATATGTTATGTGCACAATCTGGTATCTATGCAATGACAATAAAATACTGAAGTTCCAAGCTATCGCCCAAGGGTGTTTTTTGGGTTGACCTTTCATCAAAAGGTCAGTTAGCACAAAACTATATTGGTAATAAAGATAGGATTGGAGTACTGCAAGAAATATTTCTGAATAAAAAAGCAACGTAATCCTAAAAATGGAAATGTACCTTTAAAGTAGAGTATATTACAAGGGAGGATTATATGGTTATATTTATATACTTCCATTAATGTTACTGCTGAATAATTTCAATATCGTAAAAAAAAAGAAAATGTGATCTGGCATGTATGGAGACCACACCCATAGCATTCCCATAATGCATTGCATACAATGAAGAAGGTACCATCAAAGGCAGTATGCAAATGATGCAGTGTGATCAGTACAATTGGAAAAGCAGAGAGACGGAGCTTTAAATCATGCGCCCTATTGGGTGGGGATGATTAACACATTATTTTTAAAATATCTGGGGCATGACCATAGTGCAGATTATACTAAAAATATGCAGAAAATACAATTTCTGTTGCAGCTAAAATTCGAAGCCCTACAGTTTAATGCAGGAAAACCACAGATATGAAATCGTCAGGCTGGCTATTCCTTATGTAGTATGGGCTTTATTAGAGAAAAAAACAGCCATATCACATGTCAAGCCCCTTAGCTGGAAATCAACACTAGTGAACCACATGTTTTCAGTTCATTTTTCTAGCTAGCTGAGAATGGCAGTTGATTCAATGTCCTGCTGAGGCTTCTCAAAACAATGAAATCTAGAATGGTAATATCCACTGAAATATGTTCTACGGGATGTCAGAGCACTCAAAAGTCCAGCTAACTTTACACAAGTAAGGTTATCCGAGCCCCTGCTACAACCATAACTGCCCCGGTCGGTCATCGTAATACAAGGCAGTCAGTTCCTATTTGACTCAAATGCTTTGAACTAATCAGTTCTAACCTGGCCTACAATAGAATGATGTTGGCGTTACACAAGGAAAAATATAAAGTCATGAGATCAAACTTGAGATTGTTAAGGATATATATTTCAGTGCGGCTAGTTTAAGCAATGGATTGCAGTGCTTTAGTCGCTATTATATTCACGATGTTAGTCTGTTGTAGGAAACACTAGGCATCTTAAATCAACAATGCATGCTGTGACTTCAACACACAAATTCAAATTCTGACAGAATCGTTCATACATATTCAAGTTCGTAGCAGTTCAGGGGATGTTTTTCAATAAAATATTGACCAGACAGATGCCAATAGCAGCTTTCTTTCCAGATACCACCATTAAGGACTGACAAAAGTTGTGTTGATACAGGAATTTGTAATTTTTTTTATCTTTAATTAAATGATCATTTTAATAATAGATAAAATAATTGAAGATGGATGGATGGACTGTATGAACCTAATAACAACAGATGTAATGCAAATAATGGCCATAAAGCTATACATTCCCTCATAAACATCAATATATATAATGACCTTGCCTAGGTTTATGTGTATGCAAGGAATTAAGAACAATAATATGTTGGAAATCTACCACTGCCAAATAACAGGACAATTATGTCTAGTGTTTGCCCTAGAATAGTAAGAATGATTGGCATGCAAGAATTTCTGCAAGCCTTTCCGCTACCAAATAATAATACTTTTCTTTCATAGGACCTTTCCTCTGACATATAACCTATATGTATGCAGAGGAAAGTGGACCCTTTTCCTCTCTTGGTACTATCTTTTCACCGGGATTTCCGGTCAAAAAACTGCATTATAGTACATGTGCTGGGATACAGCATACAGTATACATTGCATCTGTGATTTGATTTGTCATGATTTGACAGGAAAGTCGTTGTCATGTGTTAGATTCACCCCTATGTTAATATTGAGTAGGTACTGTCCACACTGGACAACAACAATGGCAAATGTTGTGAGAACCTGGGTGAAAGCATATTGACGACACTTAGCTTTATCAATGACTTGTAAGTGGTCTAATAGATAAAAACAAGTGTGCACAAGGATTGGACAAATTAAAGGAGTATTCAGTAATCATTGGGCGCTACTTAGACAGCTGGTCGATTTCGGCCTTATATGCGACTCTATGTAAACAAGACAACATTGGAAATAAATGAAAATAAAGTTGGAATCTTTTGAAAAGAATTCACTTGAATATATCTTGAGGTGGTTTATCCCCATTGCTTTGTGCCAAGCTATTCAAATCTATTGAATAGTCTACAAAAGACAAGATTCTTGAGGGTTTTCACATGCTGGTAAGGCACAAAAACACTTCTTTACCAATCCACCAACTATTTCTCTAACAGGACAGGCATATCTAAAGACAGTTCCAGATAGCAATGTTAGGGTAGCGGTGGATGCTTTATATTAATTTTGTTGCGGGTCATTAATAGTGTCATACCAAAATGACCCGGGTGAAAGATTGGCATTTCTGGATTCCAATACATAATGTTTATAGGGAGATAGAAGTTTTTTTTATTACTTTAAGTGTATAAATATGAATGTGTGGAACTTTAATTATTCGACCATATCCAGCAAAAGTGCACACTTATTTTAATTCTAACAACAGTATCTTTTACTGAAGATAATTCTCAATTTGGGCCTACACTGGATCCATGCCTTTTTTTACACTATAATGTCAGGATACAATTCTGGTATACCAAGAGTTGCACTGGTCGTGGGGTAAACACACAAACCTGACTGACTTGTTTGAACATACTGTTAAAAGAGTCAGTCAGAGTTTGTAAGTGGGGATTTATGTATTTAGCTCTGTGTACACTAGGAAGCTGTACACACATGTTTAGCTTCATAAAAATGCCATTACCATGCAATCTGGACTCACCTCGACTGTCAAAATACACAGCTAAATCACATGGCTCAACACACACACACTGGTTTTATTTCTTACTTTAAGTTTTCATGTTTAAATACTTGGGGTAAGGAGGGTCATTCAAATCTTTCTAAACACTGCATAAAAAATAAATTGTATGGTAAATAAATCCTCATATTTCAAATCAAACTAACTAATTGGGAACATGTACTCTGTGCATTTCAGACATTACCACATTTATTTATTAAGATAGGTCTGTTGTGACATGGTTGTGACAATTAGACTGTGAACCAACCATACACAGTAAATTTTGCGAAATGAGTCACACATGACACCATGTTTAGGAAGCTGGAAACATTTGTTTTCACTAAGCAAATGGTAGCAGTTGTGGTTCGCCACAGTATTAAGGCAGGTTAATGTATAGCTTGCAGGTAAGAAAACTTTACAAAACAAAACAATTTTACAAAACAGAGCAAAATCTTTGCAAATGTCTGCTGGTATATTTGGATTAATTTTTAAGATAGGTTCATAGCCCCCTATTTATTTAATTTCTCTGGAGAGACAATATTTAGACTGGACCCACTGGCAGTCTCAACTTGGAATTACTTGGTTTGTAGTTCAATGGTCTTGCCAAACAAGTCTGACTCAAATTCTAATAAATACTTTTTAAAGACAATTTAGATCAAATAAAGTCATATAATTGAACCATTTTAAACCAACCAGCAACGTTTTATGAGTTTGAACACAGTCAGTGACGTCTTGATTTTCCGTCGTAACGGTACACCCAAGCTTCAAAAAGTAAACAGTACGTTTCTCCCGCTGATATCAAAATAAATTATAGAGATTTAATTAATTAATTAATTAATTAATTAACAATAGATAAGATGAGATCAAAGTGTGAAAAACAAAATCTTCTCAACAATGTTTTGCGGTCCTGATATGGATACGACTTAAACACCAACAAGACCCACATGACGCTAGTCATCACCCATACGATACAACGACGGTGACTGGTACTTCCAAACACAAGCAAATCGAACAAAATCGAACAAAGTCGAAACTGTCGACAACAAGAACGAAGGCAATATAAGATTTATTTTCACCGCAAACATGTTATGGTAGTTTTATGGGCTGTTGTATCTGCATAAACAGGGAGTTATCGAGGATTACGGACCGTTAGCTTGGGCGTGTGTACTTTTTAATTAAAAACTACTTACAAAGTAACAATTGGACCATTATACAGGGAACTAAGACAATAATTACGTGCCCGTTAACTGATAAACAACAGTAATGCGCTAGCCACCAATGTGTTCTTGAAAACGTTGGTGTGAAAGGCAGTGAGGTGCTATGATGGCAATGGATCGATATAAATGCGATCGCACAAATCGACGTGTCTCGATCGGCACCTGATAAAACACTCACCTGTACCAGTCTTCACCCAAAGTGTAAAACCTGTCAAAAAAATGAACTTCAGGTCCCGGAGCACGCACATCAGGGTGCATGCGAATGAATTCTAATAAAGCTCTTGTTCCACATTTTTTCACCCCGATGATTACAGCTTGTGGAAGTTTGCGAGTTGCGTTTGTTTTGTTAGCGGCGATGGAATCAACGCTCTTTCCACCAAGGCGGGTATGATTTGTATCGTCCGTGTCCTCATCGTCGTAACGCTCGAAATCTCTGTCCGTATCAGTTTCGTCGTCCTCGTCCTCCCAGATATTCTCTCGCTTAACGGGATCGTCTGGTTTGACACCTCCGTAAAACCCATGGATGTCCACACCATCGACGCCGTAAACGTGCAGACCACCATCACCACCACCGGGCTGCCGGAGATCGTCTTCTGAACCGAGTATATGGAGGTTCTGTCTTAACCGTACCCCGCTCGAATGTGAAATGGCCGGACAGCAGATCAACATTGAGTAAACCAAATATCCACACACGCTGACGATGGCCGTAAACGCGACAAATTTTCGCTTTCTCCGAGCGATGTTAAGAAAATTCATGCCTCCAATGGGGTCATGCCTGCGTACACAGGCCAATTCGTCAGTAGTAAAGTCCATACATACATACAGAGTATAGTAGCGTTTCCTACGGTGAAGCTAACACGGCCAAAACAATGAACTCGTTACAGCATTATATACTGAGCGGCCGTTGCTGTCAACGAGTGCTCTCCCCGGGTTCACACCATCGGGATCGTAGAAATCCAATAAATGAAAGCGAGAAACCAGCACGCTAAAGTAACTACTGAAAGTGGGACGAGATTAGAATTTACACATCGAAGCTTGTAGCATCTCTTACTATGAACCGCGCGGGTGGAAAGCTGCTTTCAGTCGCCTGTAACGCCTGATTTCATTGGCCAGATATCAAGAATATGCAAATATATTTGCTAGACTGAGAGTTTTATTTTAGTTACGCCATTGCCATCCACGTGACTGCTTTCACAGCTTTATATTGGGTAGCTAACCGTCAGCCACGTGGGGCTTGTCATCTTGGTGAGTTTATTGTCTCAATGCCAGATAACAGCTGTTCAACAGTGACAGGTGGGCTGAACAATCAAAACAAATCGCTTTGCGCTGTTTCCTTTAATGCACTTCACCCCCATGATGAGGGCGCTATATATATAATATACACATCTGTAGGTACTGGTTGGTGATATACATTTGCAAATTTGCAGCAATTTGTGGGTATGTGCTGCCATATGGCATCCGACTGATTACAATCTCAAATTTTTTCGTCTTTCTAATGCCGAAATCGTATTTACGTGGATTACATTTTACAATGCAGTTTTGGATTCAACAACAGTCTGACATGTTCTAAAAAAATAATTATAAAAGAACCCATTTGAAATCTGGAGTGTTGGATGAAATTATTAAATTGCAAAGTTTTTATATTACTGCGACTGTTTTTTTTTCTGAAAGCACGTCTGAACTTTATTTGTTTTAAATTGTTTAAAAAATGTTCTTACTATTGCCCGTCGAATCAAGTTTATTTCCAAAATCATCAGACCCCCCCCCCATTTTATATGGATTTATCCCCCTTCACACATACACACTTAATATGACAGGAGGCTATGTAGAAAAGAATTACTCATTGTAAGTTTCATGGTCCTAGAACGCTTACTTCCCTATCACCACTCATATGTGAAAAGCAGTAATAGCGGCGACCCCAAAAGACACACCATTGGAACTCAAGAAGAACAATTTTCTATTCCGGTTGAATAGCTACGAACGTATTTTCTCCAACACCACCAATTGCATAGTCGTGTATCATCCTATGTTTCATAATAATATCACTTGTTTGACGAAAATTGTTTCAAGAGTAAAAAAAATAATAAGATTATTCTTCAAGAATAAGATAATCGACATATGAAAATGAAGGATCCGTACACTAGAGGGCGCCAAACTGTATTTCACAGCGTTTAGTTTAATAATAGAACTTTACCTTCACTGAGCCTTCGATATTTATTTCATTCTTGAACACATATTTATAAATACATATTTATCGTCAGTATTTATCGCGACTGTGCAAGGTTTTCGTATGTCAGTGGCGTGCAATCATGATCAGTGACTGGTGACGTCACGGCCTTGTTGCTATATGCAGTATAGAAATGTTCAGGAGGTTGGCAATTCGATCGGAGAAACGAAAGATTGGTTAGCAACAAAGCGGAACTTGGTTATTTATTTATTATTATCATTTCCTTGTTTATTTAATGCACACACTTATTTTTAATTTATTATATCATCGTCGTGTAATTTATGACATGCCGCAAAATTGTAGCCTGGAAACAAATTTAATTTTCCGAGATGAACACATCCATTCATGATAACACAAGTTACGGTCGTAAGATTTTCATTTTCAATAATTTGATTAATAAATTCATGCCCACGAAATACATCTCAGGTGGTATTGTATTCTTAGACTAAAAAATGTAAATGTTTTAACAATTTAAACGATAAATGTTGGTGTTTCGGAAAACCTTCGTACGGTTTTGAAAATCTGAAATTTAAGTCTTGGCATGTTTTTTGTTACATTCTACAATAGAATATGTGAATGGCAACACTATTCCACGGATTATCGGTGTACTGCCTTTGTTTTGAAGTGTTACATGCTGCCAGCGATGTCTGAACCGTTTGTTAAGAGGGTTGCAATTTATCACTTAGGCAATGGTTTATGTAGTTTCCATTGATTTCAGAGCAACACAATTGTCATCTGGGGACAATTTACCTAAAGTACAATAGATAATTACATTAAAAGCATGCTGTCATCGAAAAATATATAAATTAATTGGATTTGAAAAGGGAATTGACCATTAGAAACTTTAAATTTGTTTTCATCACTTAGTTTTGACCGTGGTGGTTCTTTCTATTTTTTTCTATCAATTGTTTTTTTAATAAATATACTTTTTTTCTGTAATTCCCCGATGCAGGTTATTGTTCCCCGAGTGTTTCTAACTGTCAACCCCTAAACGAGTGTGTCACTGTATTGTCTCGTATACCACAGTAAATTGTGTCAAAGTATGATAGACACGTGTAGCAAACATAAGTATGCTTTAACATTTAATTGTCACACGCATTTTACATCCTGCCTCTTGGACTAGCGACACTGAATGTTCGCGGAAACACCTTTTTATGATATTTTAAAATCGACGGAAGAAATTCACTGTGCTCATTTTTTTAATTGACTGTTATTTTATACTTATCAAGAACATTTTTATAATTATTGTTAAATAAATATGTTGAATGATATTACTGTAATAATGCAATCTAACGCTATGTTGAATGAATGTATGTAGACATGTAAATAAATTAACGATTTAAATGTTTTCGGATTTGATATCGCCTCGAAATGTGTGTAATGTATTATGAGAACCGGCTAACTGGCAATAAGGAATTAATACTATCGCCGGCTATTCTACACATTGCATCACATGTTAGGGGAGAATGATTATTATGAATTGTTATGTATTATATATGTGATAAACATATTGAATAAACTAATGAAGTAAACTTTGTTTAAATCGTATTTAGTGAATGGTACACGAATGTCAGTTCGCGATCGGCAAGTCATATTTGATCAGAGTGAACCAAATCAACGGAATCATTGTTTCACTACGCCAAATGTACTACCCATCATTAGGACCTCAACTGCCAACATAAAGTGACAAAGTATGATTTGCCGGTTTATTTCACATGTCACTGGGATCGGTTCCATCACAACATGTTTCATTTTGCTCCATGTCCCGCCACTCGACTCCAATAACTTGCTTATTTATTGGTAATCTTGAGCAGCACAATGATTGTCATAGTAACAACGTCTACAAACGTCTGTCAGTTCAGCAGCGTCATTTAGCAATACAGGGACTGTGTGTCAGTTCATCAGCGTCTATCGAGCAATAGAGGGAATATGTGTCAGTTCAGCAGCGTCTATCTGGCAATAGAGGGACTATATGTCAGTTCAGTAGCGTCTATCTGGCAATATAGGTACTATGTGTCAGTTCATCAGCGTCTATCTAGCAATAGATGGACTATGTGTCAGTTCAGCAGCGTCTATCTGGCAATAGAGGGACTATATGTCAGTTCAGTAGCGTCTACCTAGCAATATAGGTACTATGTGTCAGTTCAGCAGCGTATATTTAGCAATAGAGGGACTATGTGTCAGTTCAGCAGAGTCTATCTAGCAATATAAGGACTATGTGTCAGTTCAGCAGCGTCTATCTAGCAATAGAGGGACTATGTGTCAGTTCATTAGCGTCTATCTAGCAATAGAGGGAATATGTGTCAGTTCAGCAGCGTCTATCTAGCAATAGAGGGACTATGTGTCTGTTCAGCAGGGTCTATCTAGCAATAGAGGGAATATGTGTCAGTTCAGCAGCGTATATTTAGCAATAGAAAGACTATGTGTCAGTTCAGCAGAGTCTGTCTAGCACTAGAAGGACTACGTGTCAGTTCAGCAGCGTCTATCTAGCAATAAAGGGACCATGTGTCAGTTCAGCAGCGTATATCTAGCAATAGAGGGACTATGTGTCAGTTCATCAGCCACTATCTAGCAATAGAGGGAATATGTGTCAGTTCAGCAGCGTCTATCTGGCAATAGAGGGACTATATGTCAGTTCAGTGGCGTCTATCTAGCAATAGAGGGAATATGTGTCAGTTCAGTAGCGTCTATCTAGCAATAGAGGGACTATGTGTCTGTCAGCAGTC